AGGCTGATGATGATAACAACGACGATGACATGAGCCAAGTGACAATAGGGCCTACTTTGTGAAAGAACAGCACCAACCATGCTCATCGGTGAAAGTGTATGGAAGCTGAAATCCCAAAGGATATCAACTGTTGCTTTTTATTTTTCAACGTACGAGAAACTCCGTTCATTCTGCCATAAGCAAAAGAAGGCTAATGAGTGATGTAGGTTACACTTCGAGAGGGGGCACGGCTTTAGTTGTTCGATCACAAGCAATAAACTGCACTGAACTGAATCAGTCTGTAAGAAAGTTGAAGATCGTCGAAGTGATAGTGCACCGCGTTATAAAAATACCAGCTGAACACTGTACACATGTACGAACTTAACTATATTGTACATGTGTTCATTTCAGACTGGAAGACTTATGCTCAGTAGCACACGTATGAAACGCACAGCTGGAACATAATGGTTTGGTGCAAGAAGCAAAATTTGGCACGCTTCGGCTAGGGCTTCAGCATTTACAACGGAATAACAAGGTAAAGGCAGGTGTGGTGGTGAAGAAAAATCGATTCTTGTGCGATGCGTTTCAGGAAAAGTACTGAAACGCTGAGGATGGCATTGAGGTCGTAAGAAACGACCACGCTAGGAGTATGAGACCAGTCATGCCAAGGCGATGATGGCAACATGCGCGCACACACCGAATGAGTGCTGTGCTGTCCGGTGATGGAAGCAACCGCCACCACCGAGGGCGGACGGACGCCGCCGACTCGGATAATTGGTCGGGTGGTCGTCTGTCGGTGAATCAGGACCGACCGAAAGAAGTTCGAGTCACAACCTCGTGTTCGACGGGTTTGAGAGTTCAGTGAAGCAAGTCAAGTGTCAGACAGTCGCGGGCACGCGTTCAGCACCGTATCATTAATCAGAAGTGTCACCGAGCCGACCTGAACCGAAACGAAGCCGAACGCCAACCGACCGACCACTACTTACCACCAGGCAGGAGTCCAAGTGTCGGCCAGCACCGGTCCGGGCGTCGCACCGACGATCAGGACGACCAGCAGGGCGACCAGCAGCGTGCCGGCCAGGTGACCGTCGTCGTTGAACGGCAACCGAGGTGTTGGTCGTCTTCGGCGTCTTTGGACTCTTGGGCGTCGTTGGGGCTGAGGCGTCGTCGACGGTGCAAGTAATGCGTGAGTCACGTCGCCGGCCAACATCATGAACTCGCATTTCGGCCGGCGGAACTCCGTCTCTGGCAGGCTGGTTGGCAGGCGATCCTCTTTCGCTCTCCACTACTTACTCAACAACGATGATAACCGTCGAAATCGAAGTGCCGTTGTCCGAACGCGACGCGGTCGTCAAGCACCAGCGGTCGCGGGCATCTGAAGAAAGTAGTCACCGTGTGATTTCACGTTTTCAGGTAACACACCGCAAATCATCACAAGCCACGTTTCCCAATAGGCAGGTCGGCAGGTAAAGAAGAACTCGGTCGTACGGTAAGCAATATCACCGGGGATGTTCCTCGCAGGACGGACGAAGGAAGAACCGCAAAAGCCAAAGGCTTATGCGGAGCGTCATGGGAACCGGCGAAAAGGTGACAGACCCCGTGGAGCAACAGAATCCTACTTGCTTTCTGTCCTAGCGCCCAACTACCAGTCAAAACAGCAGCGACAAGGGACGGGGTGAAGACGAGCGACGACGATGACATCGATGGAATTTGACGACCAGCGAGGAGGAACCGACCGAACCGAACGTAGACGACATTGATCGATCGTACTAGCGGCGACAACGACGACGGCGGCCACAACGACACGGTGGCGCTCCCTCGTCCCTCGGCCGCCGACCTGTCGTCTTCCTAGACCCCTGCCACACCTCCGGGCTGTCAGCATCAGTGCA